TGCGCATGCTCCCAGCGCGCGAGATATTGTTGGGCGCGGTGACGTCGGCGCGCGCGTTGTTGCTCCTTGAGCGTCATCTCACCTTGGATCGAACGCGGAAAGAAAATCTGTGAGGTAAACATGAATAAATGCGCGTTTCAGAGGACGGACCCACGCACGACGAGGGTGATCCCGGAAGAGACGATGCAGCCGATACCCGCGAGGATGCCCAGTAGATCTAAGATGAGAGCCTGCTCAGCGGCCCTTGATCAGAACACGGCGAGCGATCGCACCTGTCGCGAACCTGATGGAACGAGGTTGAAAATCAGTTCACGCGACAAGCGTTGGCTGACGCACATTTTATCATTGATGTGTTGATGCGGTTGAATGCCATCAGCGCCGAGGATGACGAGCGGGACGGTGAACAGAAACCGGAACACGACGCGGATGCACTATCGGCGGTCAGAACGAGACGGGACGAAAGCGAGACAGCGACGAACGTTCAGCTCATGGTACTTGGTCAGCCGAACCAGCGTGGCGGTCTCGGCGTCGTCCCCTTTCTGCACAAAAGCGTCATTACGTGGAAAACCTCGGCGCAAGCGACGAGAACGGAGGCGTACGAGGTTTGCAAGAAAGGAAGGAAAGGCCCACAAGACCGGTAGAAACCATATCGTCAACGAGAGGCCGGCGAGTCCCCCGGTCAAAAACGTGTATGATTCACACTGCGATCGTGCAGTCAGTCGTCTCCCGAACCGACGCTCGTTCACGAACCTTGTATACGTCTTGGCGGGTAGCGATGGTTATCAGGGGCATGGCGAGCACAGCGATGCAAGATCCGGACGCCCACGTCTTGAAATAACGACTTCGGAACCAGTCTTGATGCCCGGAGCTAGAACGAATGAGGAAGAGCCAAAAACAGAGCTCTGTGGAGTTGGGCGATAAGCCACCAAAGTTCACCGAGTCTTGGAGCATCAACACGTGTACCTTCCAAGTGTGTCACTCTGGGGCCAAGTCAGTCGATGAGCAAGACGGCGAACGAGAAGCCCACATTTCGAGTCCCCACCCGATGGACAGCGAGAGGTATAACGGGAATATCGCGTTTTGTGCAGACGGACTCCATGATTGATATGGCGTGGGCATAACTGGGCGTAAAGTTATCAAAAGCAGTGCGAGGAAATAGATAACACGGGGCTTACCTCCGATCTCCGGTACGCTGGCGTATCCATAAGAATACTTTATGATAGCGAACCCCACAGCATATGCGGTGATGAGTGGGATGGTTGCCAAGTATGAGTACTGGACCGCCATGGTCAGAACGACGTTCCGAGGGTGTTGGGAGACGCACCGTCATGACGCGCTTGAACGCGCCAGAATATGGACCGTGGTTCCATCTCGAGGGTACGTTTGGATCTGACTGACAGAATGCACCGATGCAACTCACCTGAGACATCGGAAGCGATCAAAGGACCAAAGGTGGAAGATAAGAAAGCTCCCGAGCTACGAGAATGAGCCAGTTGCAAACGCGATAAGAGGAGATGTACCATGGTGGTCAGGAGTGCCCAGACGAGGTTGACGGCGGGCGATATGTGTGCCATGGAATCGAGAGCAGTGGGAAGAGGAGACGGGCTGGTGGGATGCACATGGCGGCAGCAATATTAATTATAGGCAAGGAGCAGGTGCAACGTTTCCCCAAGAGTGCGTGGCAACAGTACTTGACATCAAAGGCTAAAGTGTGATCGCAGTGGCATCAGGCTTAGTCATCGACCATATGCCACCCACGGACGAGGACCGCGAAGACGTGTTGCTGAGCTGCCGCTTCGGCGACCTGCCCGACGTTGCGCACTTTGTCGCCGCCTTCTCCGCCGACACCCTCGACACCGTCCACGACGACAGCGCCAACTCTGTCCTCCACATGGCCGCCGCAAACGGCCACGCCGGTGAGCACACACCGTCCCCCTACCCCTCTCCTCTCCTCAGCGTCCCAAAGACGTCCTCGCGTATCTCCTTCCGCGCGTCTCCCCGTCCCTTCTGACACACCGCAATCACGCCGGATCGACGCCCCTCCATTGGGCCGCTGTCAATCGCCATCTGGAGGTCTTGCAGATGCTCGTCCGATTCCCGGCTGGCCCCGGCGTCGACCTGATCGACATCAAAAACGACGCGGGCCGGTCGCCCCTCGGAGAAGCGGAGCTGGCAGGTTGGGACGAGGGCGCGCGGTGGCTCGTGCAGGTGATGAACCTTGACGAGACAAAGGAGGACGTGGAAGAGTCGGCAGATCCATCGGACGCGATCCAAGTGGAGATTCAGGACGCTGATGGCCAGGTGGCTACGCTGACGATCAACCCCATGTCATCAGCCCCGGATCAAGAACCGTCATGAGGTCTGTGCCACTTCTCTCCTTCAATTCATGTTCTGACCTCATAAACCCGAAGAGCCGCCGCCTAGTTTAGACTGTGTCACTGATCGTAATGGTACCGTTGATGATGATGACCGTCAACCCCAATCGTGATGCACGGCTTCTCTTGTAGATATCGACGCGAAAAGACGACACATCAAACAACATCTGTCAAGGCGCACCACAAGACCCGTCATCCCTCTGTCATCGCTCGTCGATGGATATAAACCACTTCGACGCAGGATTATTTTCGTATCTGTCCCGCCATCAAACGAGATGCTCGATCATGACCTGATTCACCGTTTCGGTATGTCCTCCGCCACGGCTCAGTCCATCCCACCACGCGTCCGCTCCTCCGGCGGATCAGATATATATACACACCCTGGTCTCCACGCCTCGGGCGTCAACAATGACGGCGTCTTTCAAAACGGGAAAAAGCCAAGACCGGAGAGACGCCCGGATTCTCGTGGACTGGAACCCGGAGACCAGCACCAGCCGCCGCCTGTCATTGGCCCACGCTTCTGTGGCATGACGTATATCCCCGGTGGTCCATCGCCACTTGACAGATCGACACGTCGTCAACTTCCTATTTTAATGAGGTGTTCCTACCCGTGCGATGAGAGAGCAAGACATTGACGTTCAAAGGCAGCGACGATGCTCGTCTCCTCTGGCACTGAAAATTGAGTAACCTGTGGACCCCGTGTGCGCTAGTTATTGCTCCCGTCCTCTCGGAGACACGGCGAGCTATCGGACCACCCACAACGACCCGACGCCTGACGGGAGTATTGCCCGCCAGACAGCCTCGCATCGACTTGCTCCGATCCAGTAGGAATCATCGCCAGTCTCATCTCGTCATCAAATTCGGCGCGTTTCCTCTACGTACTACGCGCTCGCCTGAGCAAAAGCGGACTACCAGTGTCTGGCAAAGCACCGCCTTGTCGTCCACCAAGGTCACGACACCCCTCTTGCCTCTCCAATGGTGAACCGCCTGTGCCCCGCGTACCGATACCAAACAAGGACCCGTCGGATCCGTCCTCGCTGGCACTTGTCGCTGTGTGAAGACATGTCCTCTGGGTGCGGTCCGGGATCACTGTTGCTAGACGCCACCGGATTTAACGTTAACCCGTTCTTATCCCCACATACAGTACAATGTCCAGTGTTGTCACCGGGGTGGGAGTTGTCACGTCACCCATCGCTGACAGCCCATAACGTCGGCCGTGCGTAGCCGTATTCGACTCGCGGGGATTTCGGATGTGCACGTCAAACTCGAAGGGTAAGCGATCCGATGTTGCATTTAATTCTTCCGTCTCGTTGATCGCGGTGGGAACATCGAGGTCAAACTCGTCTAATCCCGGTCCTTGGCACACCGGAAAACGACCGTCTTGAGATTTTCGCCCGACAGTCACCACGTCGTCTGAACTGTGATTCAATGCGGTAAAGATGAAAGTTAAACCAGAAAGGTGGGCCCATGTCTTCTCTTCCATTTGAGCGCACGCGCGATACAGCAGCCTTGGCACCGTGTCCAAGATCGATTCCTCGAGCATGTTTTGTTCATGAAACCAAGCCCCGGGCATGGACGCTTGACGGCCGACAGCCTCGATTATTTCGAAGACCAAGCTTAGTGTCACCCCGTGCATTGGAAGCTGCTCCTGAGCCAAGGTTTGAATCACGCGTGGGTCGTCGAGTCCACAGCCAGCCTCGTGAAATCAGACCGAGCGCTCGCCACGCGACGATCGTGAGTGTGAACAGCCATACAATGATTCAACCAACAACGCCATAGCCTCCCAGCACCCGAGGAGAACCTCGAAAAATCGCGACCAAGCAACGCGCCACACGACCAACAACCACGACACACCTGGGATATCAGGGTTCGCCATGGAGACCGCGTATGGAATGGATAGGGTGTAGGACAAATGCGGATGGAAGCACGAGCACCGTTTGCGCGTTCGGGGATGAGGGTGACCATGTCGCTTCGTATCTCCTCTTGGGAGGGCAGCGTGTTCGGTGGGAATCGGGTTCGTGTGTATGCAGATGGTGAGAAGCACGTCGGCGAGCCTTTGGCCAAGGACTGTCCACGCTCGTGCTAGGCAACGTAAAAGAAAGACGAGGTCGTTGTGAGCGTCGAGGAGGCCGAGCAGGAGGCAACGAAGCAGCCTGGCATGGAAACGGAGCACGTCCTCCCATGGGGCGAGCTCGAACGCTGCCCAAAGGCGTTCGGGGAACATGAGGGGGCTGTGTGGTCTCGGTAAAAGGGATGATATCGGAAGTTGAACTCGGCTGCGAAATCAACAGGCTGGGAGTGGTCTGGGCTCTGGACGAGTCTAGGGAAAGCCCATCAGCTCCACCTCTTCTTTTGTCGATCTGTATATCCATCCTGTGTCCCCACCGACACCCACTGATCGATCAAACAACTGAAATGAACGCTCCCGACTCGGAATTTCAAGAAGTTGGCTGGACATGCGAGATCACGTGCCAGTGTGAATCATGACAATCTCATTGGAGATAATTTTACAGGCATCACTAGAATAAATGCTCATTGGCTATGCTAGTTCTCTGGTCCGCTGTCTCCGGCTCTCGACATGCAGGTACAAGGTCTGATAACGTTGATGACGTTCGCCCACTCAACGGTCGTATAGTGTAGTGGTTATCACTCGGGATTTTGAAGACTACTTGATTTCCCGAAACCCAGGTTCGAACCCTGGTACGACCTCTTGTTTTTCAATAAACTTCATTCTTCACTTTTACTCCCGCGCAGCTTTGGCGCGTTCTCACCCGGGAGATGCGTGATTACGACAAGGTACACCAAACACTCCTCGTCATCAAGGTACTGCAAGAATCCAGATTATCGAATTCGGCGTAAAGGCGGGGCGAGAGTTCGAGGTCCCCTGACCTGTTCTTGGTGCATGTGCATCTTCCACATTCGGTGCGGGTTTCCATCCAGCGTGATGCCCTTTGGTTCTTCGGGGCGTCATGTGCCGACGTGACCAAGCTCGTTCAAAAACGTTGTGATTGATCACTTTGAGAGAATCAGCTTGCCATAATATGTATTTGTAACCACGGCGACCCCTCACGTAGAGTACTACGCTGGGAGTAGAACTGCCTCTTCGAGCGCTCCGATGTCCCATCGGCGCATCATCCTGATTGGCAGCGTTACTTTCCGTACGACCCTAGAATCTTGAGACGGATTTTTCCGAGTCGGCCCGCGTTCGTTGTCAGGTGCTCAGGACGAGCTTCAGCGCGCTGAATCATGGTGCGTGTGATTGGAGCTTTCATTTGCGCGCGCATGAGAGCTGTATCAAGTCCGAGGACACATCACGGAGGAGGACATTTTCGATCATATGATGCCGCATCAAAAAGTCCGAGTCCGGCGAATGATCGTCCGTTAGCAATCATTTCCCGTACTGGGCTCGTCAATCACCTGAGCTGGCGGCGGGCCAATGCAAAAAGGGAGGTGCCTATCCTTGGGAGGGGACAAGCTGATGTTCGCGAGTGCACTTGGACGGCAACATGATGGACGGCGAAAGGAGGACCCTGAGTTAAATTAAAAAGAAGGGAAAAAAGGGGGTATACGATGTCAGTTAATGAGGGTTTGTTTCCAAATTCCAAATGACCTTGTCGGCAAGCGTGGTGATGATTACCATGCACGGTGAAACTCGTCAGAGGAATTTTTTTCTGACGGTCTCTCTGCGGCAGTTTCGAGCATGTACGTACAGAACTGGCGCTTCCCTCGCTTTCCGCACTTCCTTCTTTAGTGGCCTCTTCGACGGTCCTCGACAACGAATCCCTGGACGCCCCGCACTCTGTCTCTAACCAGGCCAGTTTCGATACAAGACCGCGACAAGGTCTTCGCAACACGACCCACGTCGAGAACAAAGACCCACTGGCCCATCAGCATTGAAGCCGGGGACCAGTTTGGAAGTGTTTCGCTACAAGGCTGCCAGGCACGGCGTACGGTTTCTGCCTTGCGCGTCGTGAACGTTGCTCTGACTTATCTCCGTCGTTGTGGTTCAGTTCCGTGTTACCATCAAGTTGCAAGCCCACCGCGCGCAGTAGATAGAGTTTCGTCCCGCGAATTACTAGTACTACCGTACGGCATCGGCATTAAACGGTACGTTGTCCATGGGCTATATTCGGAAATGTTCATCTCACCGCCTACCAAAAGACCCGTGTAAAGCACTGCAAGGTGCCTCCTGGAAAACGCTCTCAGTCTCGACGCTAAACCCGAATCAGCATACGCTTGCTATACTCGGGCAACTTCTATTCTGGTCTTGTGGGGGCGTCGCCTGGGATTCAATCAGAGCAGAACACACAGTGACCCTGGAGGTGCGAGGTGTCAACGTGCCCTGTCTCCTGCGACAGCTTTGGTGACTCTTCGGGAATAGGCGCGTCGCGGCTTCTCTATTCGTGATCGGAGAGGGCGCGAAGATTCGAGAAAACGTCTCCATTTCAGAGTGCGCCTCTCTTTTGGCACAAGGTCGCTAGGCGTTGCACTCGGCAGGAACCGAGTAGACAAGCGCTACTTTGATCACATCTGATTTGATAAATGCTGAGCGTGCGACAGGACGACGGGCGAGTGGAACGGGGAGGGGCGGAAACGAGCCCAGACCTCGATGTGGGCGGAGATTTAGGTTTGGGGTCTGCCATGAGGATCGTGGGCGGTGGGGTGGTGGATGAGGCGTGTCATGAGAACGACCGCGAGGCCGTGGTTACGGGTGGCGCGAAGGAGGGTTCGGCGAGCAGGGAGAGCGAGAATCCAATGGCTGGCGAATCGGAAACGCAGGAACGGGTCCAGGAGGAAGTAAAGCGGCCGGGCGGAGGAGGAGCGGAGACGGCAGGCGTCCGTGAAGATCAACACGAGGCTCGGTCGAGTCGCCGCGTGTGTGCGCCTCGAAATTACAAACGTCCCCAGTCACTGCAGAATCTCAGGTCGCACGGAGCACAAGGAGCTCGTTATAGCACTACTACTATCAGCAGCGGCGGTACAACTCAGACCGGGACAGCTGCCAACACCAGCCAAGTTCGCACTCCCCCGCCGGCCATCCCTCCCCGCTCACCACTCCGTCCTTGCCCTTCAGCACTCGTCGGAACAACACCACAAGCGACCCCGTTTGGCATTTCCATCAACCTCTCCGCGCCTCCCCCCAGCGTCGACGACGACGACGACGACGACGCTCAACTCATTCTGATGCCCTCCCTCCGCGAGAGCTTCGGGGGGTCTCTCTCCGCCCTCCTTGCCACCCTGGAGGCGGAGTCTCTTCACGACAAAGCCTTGCCTCTTCCACCCGACCAAGAAGACGAGTTCATCATCGACTACAGCGACGAGATCGAGGAGGAAGACTATGATCCGGATCCATCCCAGCCGTCTTCCACTGACAGTTTCACCCTCGACGTCCCAACATGCCCAGCTCCAGCTGGCGCTCCCACACCCAATCAACCGGCCGTCATGACGAAGAGAGTCCATGCCCTGCGTGAACTCCTTTCTTCAGAACGCGCATACGCATCAGATCTTGCATTGATCCGCGATATACATATCCCACTCGCTCTAGGTAGGTCACCCCTTTCATAATGGTCAACCGCTGATCCTCTAACGTGGTTCGCGCCGTAGGGCAACCGGCTCCTTTCAACACCACCGCCCCGCCTAGCCCGCCGCCGTTCTCACCCAGTTCTAGGTCGACCTCGTCATCGCGAACAGTTTCCACCGCTTCCGACTCTTCTACAGCTTCTTCACAGCTTGGCCCCCCGATGACCCGGGACGACGTACGGATCATATTTGGGAACATCGGCGATCTAGCCATGTTCTCAGATCACTTTGTTGACCGCTTAGAGGAAGCCCTTGGTGGCGCAGTCGACGGCGGCAGTGGAGAAGATAGAGTTGGTGCATTATTCCTAGAGATCGTGAGTGCACACCTTCTCCGTCCTTCCGCTTGTCTTATATCGTCGGTTCCGCTACCAGATTCCAGCCCTCGAACCTCCTTACAAGACGTACATCACTCGTCATCCGACTGCACTCGCTCACCTCAATGCCCTGCCTTCCTCTCCAGCCCTCTCCGCTTATCTATCTCATACCCGAACGCTCGCGTCTTCCCTGACTCATGCCTGGGACCTCCCCTCCCTTCTCATTAAGCCCGTACAGCGGCTTCTCAAGTATTCGCTTCTCCTCGGTGCTATCATCGACGCCACTCCCGACTCCCACGGTGACCGTACAGCGCTCGTAAAGGCGCGTGAACGAATGGAAGAGGTGGCAAGAAGTGTCAACGAGGACCGTCGACGTTGGGAAGTCGTCCGCGAAGTCCTCGGAAGTGCTCCAATTCCCACCACCAACGGAGCAGGCAAGTCAAAGAAAGGCAATGGCACGGTCAATGTCGGTATGGGTGCTGCTGCTTCTGCGCACCTGAGTCGGATGAAGTCCCTTCGCACGCCGAAAGCCAAGGATCTTGCGGAGAACGTATCCGATCACGCAGAAGCGGTCGAGGTGGCGCGATTAGAAGGCGAGTTGCAACGATATGCGGCGTTCCTGGATAAGCTTGCCAAAGACGTCAAGGACTGGCGACTCAGCATGCGCCAGGCGTTGGTCGCGCTATGGCAATGGGGTATGACGTTTGGTGCCGTTCTGGGGCTCACCCCGTCGCCATCTGTGTTACTAGACAGGTCCAAGTCTGCTGACGAGCTCGATTCCGAAGGACGCTCGGAAGCATACGATGCCTTCACGTTGTTGCTGGCCAGCCTTCCAGGTCTCTGCGCGGACCTCGAGCAAGAGTTGCAAAAGTCGTTCATCCCTCTTCTCTGCAACCTGAAAACGATGATGGAGCCCCCGACGAAACTCCTCCATGCAATGCACTCACTCGAGCCACTCCATGTCGCCCTCCTTCACACACCCTTTTCGCAGACCAAATCCCGTCGTCCCCCACCCACCCTCCTCACTGCGTCGCAGTCTTACCTTGCCCTCCGCTCTGCGCTGTCGGCCGAATTGCCTATCCTCTTGCGGGCGATGAATAAAGCGACGGGCTTGGCGGTCCGTATCATAGCAAAGCAACAATCGGCCTTTTACACCTCTGTTGGTGAGAGATGGGCTGAGCTGTGGGATGCACTTAGGGTGGAAGGGGAAAGGTGCAGCGGGGCCGAAGAGACCTTACGGGTGTGGTGGGACAGATGGGCCGAGGTCGAGGTGCGACTTTCGGTGATGAAAGTCACGCACAAGGACAAGTGGTGGGCAGACAAGGAGAAGGTGCTGCGGGATCTGACCATGCGGGCTGAGAAGGCAAAGGACGGTGGGCGGGACGGCAGTGGGAAGGATCGACCAACGAGGAGGTCGACCGCACCGCCACCGCCGGCACAAGGAGCAACGACGCTCGAACCCGGACGTGCATCGAACCACCACGCACCCGCGACGCCCTCGTCTCTCAAGCGGCGGAACCACCAGCCCCAGTTATCGACCGACACCATACCCTCGAATCGCAGACACAGCGGAAGTAGCTCGACCACCCCACAGATACAGCGCCGAACGTCTGATGAATCGCTTCGGTCGGGCAAATCGGTTAAATCGACCGGCAAGTCCAGTCGGAATAGCCGAACGGAGGAGGAGCCACCGGTACCTCGTCTAAAGCCCAACTTTTCGCAGACGAACGGCGGGAGTGGTAACGCGCCCCAACGCACGAAGAGCAACCCCACGATCTCGCCTTTGCGAACAACGTCATCACAGTCCTCTCAGGT